GTATTTTGTTCTTCTCTTGGGTTTCCGGGATCTCTGTATGTCAAATTCTTCCCCTCTGGAAAGTTTTCTGTCATGAATTCTGTGAACAGTTTTGTTTTTTTTTTAAAATGTCATTTGTACTTTCTCCTGCTACTTTATGGATTGTATCAGTCTTATAAGTATTCTTCTTTGCATCATCTAAGAGTTGTTGGATTGATTTCGCAAGATCCCTTACTGTTTTTAAGAAGTCTCTCTTTTCATGGTTACAGACTGCAATCCTGTCTTCTATATCTGAAATTCTATCTTCACATTCGTTCATTCTGTTGTGAATGCTTTCTGCAGAATTTTTAATCTCCTGGATATCTGTTTGAATCTGTTTCATGGTTTCCATTTCTTTCCTATGCTGGCCATTCATGCTTTCCATCATGGTCCTGAGCTCATCTATTTTTTAAAAAATCTGTTTCTGTTCTAGAGTCTCTAGTCATGTCTTTCTTCTCACCATCTCTATAGTTATCTGGGAAATGATTTCTGTTTAAATTTTTCATTTATTTGCTTTGTTACTTCCTGTGCTATGGATGGGTTCAGGGAGTCTGGATGGTTGACTGTCAGACTTTGTACCTCATTTCCCAGGAGTTTACTTTTGGTGAGGTGGAAGTCTGTGTTTGTGCCTTGTGTAAATGTCTTCTCATTTCTGTTTTTGTTGTTGGTGCTGTCCTTGGTTTAATTCCTAGGTTAATACTTCAATCTTCCAGATATAGCTGGTCCTGGTCCTTAGTTTTTTTTGTTTGTTTTTTTTTTTTTTTTTTTTTTTTTTTTTTTTTTTTTTTTTTTTTGGTACCAGGGATTGAACTCAGGCCATTATGCTTGTGAAACAGGCAGCGGAACCACTGAGCCAAATCCCTGGCTCCTGGTCCTTACGTTTTGTTTTTTTTGTTTGTTTGTTTTTTTGGTACCGGGATTGAACTCGGGTCCTTGTGCTTGCAAGGTAGGCCACCAAACCGCTGAGCTAAATTGCTGGCTGGTCTTTAGGTTTTGAATCTCTAAGGACTGAGGCAATTTCATTTTCATTATACCAGGAAGGACAACTGATTAGATCAATCACAACACCGTAGCCCAAGTGATAAAATCAGCAACACAAAAGCATCAAGCACAGCTTAGTGAACGACTCTTTGTGGTAGTTATTAATCTGTCACCTTTAACTGTGTAAATTAAATCAAAATCGAGGACCAGCCCAAAATATGTTTATAGTGAATAACCTCTTCATTATAGCAACTTTACCCTTCAGGATGGGGACTTGAAGGGAATTGGGGAAGGAGGGATAGAGAGGACACAGGAAGATCACAGAAACTCTAGTAAGCTGTTGAAGAAAAGGAGAAGACAGAACAAACTAACAGTAATAGGGAGGCTAGAGGCTGTAATCACTTTCTTTTAAAACTAGTGGCAATTGAGAGAAGAAAAGAGAATTTATAAATATATATATATTTATAAAAGAGAACAAATAAAGTTGAATTAGCATAGGAACTGGAACAAAAAGGGAGTGAAATGAAGATCAAGTTCAGAGAGAGAAAGAAGATAAAGGAAAAAATGAGAAAAGAAAAAAAAAATTTTAAATGATTTAAGATAAAGAGAAAAATATTAATTTGAAAATAAAAACTAGAAATAGAGGGCTGCCTCCAGGGTATGCCTCTGTTGACACAATAGACAGTTTGGGCAGGAGTGTGCAGGTCTAAATTAATTAGCCTGTGCAAGTCAGCAGCTGTCCCCTGAGGTTCGGGCTGATTTCTGGCTGCAAGGCCCAGGTTGAGATCTGTGACCAGCTATGGTGGTGTGGTGTGTCTTTACTAGAGATTTCCTTCACTATTCCAGTGGGCTTCAATTTTCATCTAGGAGCCTCATCTTTTTCCTGTACACGGGGGTGGGGAGGTGGGGCTGGTGGCATGGACACTGCTGTGTTGGCGCCTGTGTGACTGGGCTCCTCTGCTGTACTGGGCCAAAGGGGCGGGCCTGCCAGAGGGTCTCAAGCTCATATCTGACTTAATAACCATCACCTTAGGATCAGGTGGAAGGAGATTGCTGGAGAAGTTAGTGCTTTACCCACTGCCTGTTGCTTCACACAGTGTACAGTGATTTTGAATTGCTTTTAAAGATAAAAATAGGAAAGGGAAAAATACAGAATAAGACTTAAAAGGTGTGCTTCAGATAAAACATAAAATTTATCTTATAAAGATTGAAATATTCCATAATAAAGTACATTTCTTTCTGAACTTGAGTTCTGGAAGTTTTCAAAAAGATTGTTGAAATCTTCCGATAAAATTCTCAAATTTTTAAAAAATTTTTTTCATTTTCCTTATCTTTTCCTCTTTTCAAAAGTATTTTAGTTATTTTAAAACATTTGATGTCCCAACCCCTTTAATATATAATTATTTTGAGTTTTACTATTCTAAGGTTTTTCTCCCTTGTTTTTGGTCATAACAGAGTTGTCCTTTGGCATGCAGTTATTCTTGCTTGAGTGGGGAATGTGGCATTCCACAGTTTGGAGAAGCTTTAGGTGCTGCTCCTCCCAGAGAACTCGGCCCCTCTTTCTCTGGCCATGTGGAAGAAGGCAGCTGCTCTCAGCCTGGCCCTCTCTGCCCACTGCTGTCCTGGCCCTATCTCCTCACGGTGCACTGCCGTCCCCTCCTGCACATTGTCACCTCTGATCTGTGACTCCGCAGCACCAAGAAACTGTCCCCAAACTGCTCTGCTTTTCAGAGTAGCCTTTTAACCTCCTGCTCTTGCAGATTGAATGGATGCTATAGGCAGTGTGTTTAAAGCACCGCTCACTCCAGCCTAGAAAAACTCTTACCCCATACCATACCTCCCTGCCAAATCTGCAGGTTTTTCATTCTTCCAGCGGTGGTCTTCCTGTGGAAGGCCCAGATTCTTCTTGACCTCTACTCAGAATCACACAGCTCTTATGTACTGCTGCTGTACGGGATTATGAGAAATAGACCCATGTTCTTAGATCCAGTTGTATTAGCTATACTTAACCTTTGGATATTAGGCTGGTTTTGTGTATGGTGTCACTTATGTGTATTCTGAATGTTTAAAAACAACTTCCTATTTAGTTAACAGCATTCTTTTATTTAAACCTTGGACTTCTTACCTAGCTCTTGAACGTCTTCAGGATGGGGCTGTGGTTCACATGTCTTGCTGCTGGGTGACTTGAAGCACTGTTGGTACATCCATGACTGTGCCTCTGCTGCCAGCAGTGTTTCAGGCTTCCTGATGGGGGATAGTCGTGCATGAACAACTGATGATTCAGGTCGGTGGGGAACGTGTTCATAGTTCTGTGGTTTCTAACCTGTGACCTGCCTAAAGAGAGTTGAAGAAGAAAGAAAAAGCAGTTTGATTTATAAATGACTTGTAAGTGTCTGTGCTATGCCACAGGTAATGACACCCTGAAATCTTTGCATTTGATTTGAAGCTCTCTTCAAATGATCCTTACATGTTTCAGTCTCTTTTTGTTATTTGTTCAATTTTAAAAAGTTGAATAGTCAAAAGCTTTGTGGTCCTCTGATCCAGTGGGATCAACACTAAACTTAAGCCACTGGTTGACAGCACGTTATATTAATGGGTCAGTGTCTGAGCTGCATGGTTTGATTCTTTGGTGGCATAGCTTGGCTGTGTAGAAAAATGCTAGAAGGCCAGCACAATTGGTGGCATGTTTTTGATCTTGACAGCTGTGGACAAAAGACATGGAGTTTTCCATGACACCACATAGTTCCTTCTTATTAATTTCCTTTATTAGTATCCTAGAGCTACATAAAATATAAAATTCCATGAATTGGGTGGCATAATAGTTAATATTTTAGGGCAGATGCCTACAAAGAATGTCAGCAGAGTAGGTTCCTTCTGAGGCCCGGAGGGAGAGTCTCTTGCACTCCTTTTCTTACCTTCTGTCTTAATGCAGGGCTGGGCCTTGGCTTGCAGCAACTGCCTCTTCACATGCTGTTCCTGTGTCTCCTATCTCTCTGCCTTTCTTTCAGAAAGATACCTCACTGGAGTTAGGGCCCTGCCTGAATCCAAGGTAATCTCATCTCTAGGTCCACTCTGTCTCCAAGTACTCACAGGTTCTGGTAAACACGTACTTTGAGTGGTGCTGCTGTTCAGCCTTCATCCCTGGGCTTCTGTGTTCTTACTGCCTTTTCTGAGTCAAGTAAATGTGAGTGTTTTTCTTAAAGGAAAATTGAGGCTACAGAAGTTTAATAGATTTTAGTTTGTCATTTTCTTTTTTGGGGGGGCTACTGGGGATCAAACTCTGGTCCTTGCACCTGTGAGGCAGGTGGCGGAACCACTGAGCTAAATCCCCGGCCCCCCTTGTCATTTTCTTGAATGGTTAGAATGCTGAACCAAGTCCAGAGTTAAAGGAATTACTTTTCACAGAAGGAGGTCCACTGTTTTGTTGTGGTCTAGAGAAGAATAATAGAATTGGTAAGTGTGGTCGATAGAGATTTTCAGAAACCACGACGGTATCAGCAGGGAAAATAAACTTCAGAGATGTAAATGGGTTATCTTGCCACTGTAAAACTGCTGTATTATTTTCCAGCTTGCAAGTGTCTATTTTCGAATAACATCATTCAAGGGTCTGCCACAGATTGGGAAGTAGGTACAGATAAGAGAGGGGAGAGGTGGCAGGTTTTTTTTTTTTTTAGACAGGGTCTCACTATGTAGTTGAGACTGACCTGGAACTCACTATGTAGCCCAGGCTGGTCTCGAACTCCTCACAGCGATCCTCTGTGTCATCCTCCCGAGTGCTGGGATTACAGGGGTGGGCCACCACATCCGGTTTTGGCAGGTTTTCTTTTGCCTTTGAGGGGAGGGGAAAATGTTAGGACTCATTACTAGTATGTTAACCAGCAGCCGCAAAGCCAAAAAGGAAGAAATTTGCTCTCTGTAACATGTCACTCTTTCAGTTTACACTTCACTGAAAGTCAAATTCGTCCATTTCTCGTAGTCATGAGATCACTCTTTCCCTGCAGAACGAGGAGACTGGCAGAGGGAACGAAAGTTCAGCTATGGTGCTGGCAACAACAATCCGCCCTGGGGCAGTGACCGGCACCATCAGTACGAACAGCACTGGTACAAGGACCACCACTACGGTGACCGGCGACATGTGGATGCCCACCGTTCTGGAAGCTATCGGCCCAACAATCTGTCCAGGAAGAGACCTTATGATCAATACAGCAGCGACCGAGACCACCGGGGCCATAGAGACTACTACGACAGGTGTGCGGAGCTCTGAGACCCAGGAACTGGCTGGCTGTGGGAGGGAAAGATGGTGACATTCACACGCGTGTAGTTTTCTGTCAGATAATTAACTGAATGTCTTCCCTTGTGTCGGCCACAGTCTAGAGTTTACTCAGATGTCACTGCTGCCCAGGCGTCTTTGGGGAGCTAGAGGAGCTCGATGAGAGCCCGCTGCCACTCCTGTGCTCTGGGTGACGGAAGTGGGGAATTTGGAGACTCTTTTGAGATTGGGAGTTTTGTTGTAGGCAGAGGAAAAGGAGAAGCCAGTGATTTCCTGATCTGGACCCTGAGAGTCAGGTAGGCAGAGAGGAGTGGAATAGGCTCGCCAGGCTCTGGCCAGGAATAAGCTTCCAGGGAGGTTGCCTAGAAGATAGACAGGTGGGATGAATGCCAGGTTATAGACTTTATGTTTTATTCCTTGGGTCATAGGAAGTCATTTGTGTTTTATTTCACCTGAGCAACAAAAGTTTTTTTTTCCCCTTTAAGGAAATCTAGCCAAGCAGTAGCCATAATACTGGAGCCAGCAGCAAGAGTTGTTAAGCTCTGCACTCAGCTCTCGGCCATATTAGGGAGCAGGCATTTGGAGATGAGTACCAGGCTGTGGTCCCTGCCTGCCTCGTGACAGAGGCCTGTGCCTGCCTTAGAAGTCGTGCCCTCTCTCCTGCTATGTAGCACCAGTAATCTGATGAGCCATGGTTTTGTAGTGTGAGACATAGCAAGTATGGGAAAGTCTGACAGGGTTTACCTGGTCTCCCTGAATGCAGGATTTGGCTATGTGTTTAATCTCTGTAGTTTTGGTTTTCTCTGGGTTGACGACATGCTTTTTTTGGATTATACATGCATTTAAGGGGGGAGTGTTATGCACATACATGTCAGTGACCTGGTATGTGCATAACCATATGCACATGATACCAAATGAGAGTATCATTGGTACTGGTATCATTTGGGAGATCTAGGAACGCAGGCTGTGTTGGCTGAGCAGCAACTGCCTTCAGTCAGCTGTGTCCCTCCCATCGCTGCACCCTTCCGTGTTTTCAGTCTGACTTGGGTGGGCACTTGCCCTGCCTCCCTTTGTGCTGATCTGTATTTCCGTCTGTTTTCTTTCTGCTTGAAGGACTTTTGTTTTCCTGTGGGTCTGCTAGTGATAAATTCTTTCACCTCTGAGTGTATGTCTAAAAAGGATTTTTTTGGTGCCTTCATTTTTGAAAAATTTTTTTGCTGGGTCTAAATGTTTAGATTAATAATTTCTGTGCTTTATGTGTCTCTACTCTGCATTATTTGTGTTGAAAAAATACTGTTGTGGACTGGGGATGTGGCTCAGTGGTAGAATGTGTGCCTGGCATTCATGAAACCCTGCTTTGGGGAATACTACCAAAAAGAGGAAAAAGTCCGTTTGTTCCTTGTGCAGTGCTGCCTTTTTAATCTTTGTTTATGATGTTTTTTTCCTTCACAAGTTTCTTGTGCTTGGGAATTGTTGAGCTGCTTGGATCTGTAGGCTTATTATTTCCAGAAAATTTAGAAAATTTTTCACTCTTCTTCATACACCCTTTCTGGCTCCCTCCTTTCTTTTGGAAATTGTAGCTATATTTATTTTGCTTGATGTTTTCTTGCAGCTCATTCACAATTGTTTTTTGTTTCATTTTGGGTAGTTTCTATTCCTTTATCTTCAGCCTTCCTAATATTTTTTTCCTAATGTCTCATAATGGCAACATCCAGAATATTTTACATTTCATAGCTTTATCTCTAAAAGTTCTAAAAGTTGTATTTGGGTCTTTTTTCTTCTTCTTTCATTTCTTCATTTTCTTTTTTAGTCTTCCATGTCTCTGACTTTCCAAAATCTGGAATATAGTCATCAAAGCTGTTTTCATGTCCCTGTCTGCTCATTGATTATATACTTTTGAGTTGGACCTAACTGATTGGTCTTCTCAGAGGCCTTATTTCCCTTGTGCTTATTTCCATGCCTGATAGTTTTGATTAGATGCCAGGTCAGATTGACCTTGTGCAGTGCTATTTGCATTTCCATAAATATTCTGAGGCTTTATTGTAAGACAAGTAATTTGGAAGCATTGATTTTTCCAGGTCGAGCCCATCAACTCTGTTTGGCAGAGTTAGAGCAGTGTTCACTCGGGGGCTAGTTGTTGCACGCCCTTGCAGCAGGTCCTGATTGCACTCTGCCCGCGGCCCGTGGAATCTGGAGTTTGGTCTGGCTGGTGTGGACTGTTGCCTCTGTTCGTGTGGGCGCTTCTCCTGGCCTTGGGCACTTCCCTCACATGCCTTCAGAGTGTTGCTGGGCCGTGTACTTGAAGGGGGTCATGGCAGATCTGCAGGCCTCTCCCTCTGTGCAGAGCTCCCTGCGATTGCACTTCTGCCTGCCTTGGTTCCCTGGCAGTCTGTGGCTTCTCCCTGCCTTTCTCCCTCACCATGTCACTGCCTTGGAGGGTTGTGATCAGCGGCTATTAGAAGACTCATCTCATTATTCTCTGTCCCTCAAGAGAACTGTTCTTCATCAGTATCTTAAAAACCCTGTCTTCCTGTTTTTTTTGTGGTTGATTCAGGTAGGAGAGTAAATCACGTCCCTATTATTCCATCTTGACTAGAGCCTGAAGTCACTCAGTCTCTCTCTCTGAAATGCACACTGCATACGTGAACCATTTTCAAGTGAAGGGTGCAGTGGCATTGGTGCAGCCAAGGTGTTGCGCGGTCACTTCTGTGTAGTTCTGCATCTCCTTTATCACCTCCAAGAAAACTCCATAACCATGTTTCTTTCTTGGTCCTTGGTAACCACCAGTCCGTAGTCTGTCTGTGGGATTTGCCTGTTTGAATGTTGTGTGTAGAAGGAATCCTGTAGCACTTGATGTCCAATTTCTTTTACTTAATGTTTCGAAGTTTGTATACATGGAAGCTGGTATCATTGCGTCCTTCCACCTAAGGACCAAGTGCTCTTGTATACCACACTGTGTGTAAGTACTACCTTCTGTTGAGTCCTTTGCTGGTCGGTGTTTTGGCCATTGTGAATTATGATGCAGTGAATATTGATGTGAGAGTATCTGTTTATATACCCATTTCTAGTTCTTTCGGTATTTACCCAGGAGTAGAATTATTAATTCATATTGTAATTCTTTAACATTTTAGGAACCATCCAATACTTTTCTACAGTATTTGAATCATTTTCTGTTCCTACCAGCAATGTATAAAAGCTGTAATTTTTCTACATTTCTCCAACACTTATGTTGTTACTATTTTTTTAACCATTATTTTTTAAATAAAGCCATTTTAGTGTACTTGAAATGGTATCTCTTTTGGGGATGTCCTTAAAATGTGGCTTTTCTTAGTTTTTCAGCTCTGAGGGGATACTTTAGCCCTGAGTATTTTGTTTTTGTTTTTAGTTTTTTTTTTTTTTTTTTTGGTACCAGGGATCGAACTCAGGATCCCTTGCACTTGCCAGGCAGGTGGTGGAACCACTGAGCTAAATCCCTGGTCCATGGTTGTTTTTTCACAAAATAATTATTGTCTCTAGATAGTTGCTATTTTTGTTTTGTTTTCTGTGTTTTTAATTTATGAAAAATAAAAATTTCATAACAAAATAATAGTAATAATATACAGTGTATCAGTATCTTCAAAGAAGTTATTTAGAATACAAGGCAGACTAAAAAGATTTTTACAAGAAGAAAGAGTAATACAAGAATTTCTTTTCAGTGAACTAAGATAAACTAGTATACATGAAACAAATAAGCATATATATTAAATATTTCCTAAACCATTGGAATAGGTAATTTGGGGAAGTAATATATTTTGTGTTTCTTGTACATGAGACACTATAATAATATTTAACCTTGTATGTCTGCGTTACTTGACATTGTGGTCTCAAGTTGCGTCCATTTACCTACGAGTCCCTCAGGTTCATCTTTATTGGCAGTGCAAGACTCCACTGTGTAGAAATACCACATTTTCTTTATCCATTCATCTGTTGGGAGACATATATGTTCTTTCCAAGATCTAACTATCATAGATTGTGCTGCAGTAAACTTGGGTGTGCATGTAACATGGTAATAGGAAGACTTTTAACTCTTCTGGGGAGATCCCTAGAGGGAGGGTAGCTGGGTCAAATAGAATTTCTAGTTTTAATGTTTTGAGGAATCTTCACACTGATTTCCATAAGTGGTTGTATTAATTTGCATTCCTACCAACAGCGTAGAGAAGAGTTCCTTTTTCCCTCATCCTTCCCAGCATTTGTTACTGGATTTTTTGATGATAGCCATTCTTCCTGGGATAAGATGGTATCTCAATGTAGTTTTAATTTACATTGCTCTGATGGCCAGCCAGGATGAGCATTTTTTCTTTTCTTTTCTGGTACCGGGGATTGAACTCGGGTCCTCGCACTTGCAAGGCAGGCCACCGAACCGCTGAGCTAAATCCCCGCCCCCCCCTTTTTTAATTGGCTATTTGTACTACTTCTGAGATGTATCTGTTCATTTTGGTTGCCCATTTTTTGATTGGGCCTTTTAAGTCTAATTTTTTTTTTTTTTTGAGTTCTTTATATATTCTTGATGTCAGTCTTCTGTTTGAGGAGTAGCTGGCAGAATTTTATCTTCCAACAGATTGTTTCTGTTTTACCACTTTGATCCATTTTGATTTTAGGTTAGTACATGGTGATATCTATGGGTGTAGACTCAATCTTCTGCATGTGGATATCCCAGAACCACTTATTAAAGAGGCTGTCTTTGCTTAAAGAGGTAAAAGGGTAACACTGTGGGTTTGATACACATTTCCCTACTGGTTATTGAAGTTGTAAAAAATTTTTTTTTTTTTTTTTT